TCCTCCACTAGGAGATGTGGCCACAGACACACACCTGAACAGTAAACTAGTTCAGGCACTGGGCTATTCCTCTGCATAGAAGTGGATAAATACATAAGTAGTATGGACATGGCATCTTGAGGGGAGGGGCTGTCACCCAGATTTAAGCTATGCCCCCCCCTATATGGATGCTGTGCCTGTTGAGCTCCTTTTTGTATCCCAGCACTACACACAGTCTTGGCACAGTCAGCACAGCTCCTCTCCCTCTCCCCTTCCTCTCATACAGCTCTCGGATCAAAAATTAAGAATGTTGGTGACACTCCCGCTCTACCTCCTATATGTAACCAAACCTATGAGTAATGTTTTATAATTTCGTGTAGGTTGCTATATAAAATTGTGTTCCTACAATATAATTTTAAATAAAAAGATGTTGAGCTACCTTTTACTGTGTGAGCTTTCTTTGCATCTGTTATACACTTATATAAACACCAGTGAATATTCTAACATATCCAATAAAAATCCCATGTATATGACACAAAAATTCAACAAATCAATAAAACAAAACTCCTTTTAAAGTGTCTGTTTTATTTGTACAGTGTCCCCATATTCCACTTTTTGATATTTGAATCACCATGTGACTTCTTATAACTGTATGTTTCTTTATTGACTGTTCATCTACCACCTCTTCATCCACCATGTGATCAGTGACTCCCACCACCTTTCATATAATGCTCTCACCCTCAATCATAGACCTAATGAATATTAGGTCTGGCAGTGCTGTCTCTATAAGGGATTAATCTCTCATTCCTTTACCTATTCTCATCATTCCATGGACGATTTTCACTTCAAGTACCTCCAATATGCCAGCAACTGGTATTCTGCCAATTACATGTGTATACCCTTAACGGGGGTGGGTCTCCCCCACTGATGCTCTTCAAATAAACTCAGAAAACGAGGAGAGGTCAGTTTGATTCTCTTATCCCTAGTTCACACAAGAACGCGGTGTGGAAAGCTCGCGTTCCCTGTGCATTCAAATGCACTGCAGTTTCAATCTATAGCAGGTGTCAATGTTAAGTTAATGACTCCCTAAACACAGATCGTAAATGCAGTACCTTTACTTGCACCAGATTACAGGGTACCAAAGTACCATGCCATGCAATTGCAATGCATTTCCAAAAGTTGTGCATGCATACATTTGGTGCAATGCAGTGTGCTTTGAGCCCATTCAAAATGAATGGGCTCAAATTGCACTGCACTGTATTGTGTGTAAATAGCACAGGAAAGCACAGCACATTCCTGTGCGATTCATAGTGGGAATATGGACTTACAGACAGCCTCTGCCTACACACTGTGTAGCTGCCTGCTATGTGGCAGTTCTGACATGTGAAGTTCCCAGGTAAAAATGGCTGTGCAGCATAGAATCCAGATACACAGTGTGCAGACAGATAGAAGCTGTGTAGGGGGAGAGGAGCTGTGCTGTGTGAAGTCTCGGTAGCAAGCAGATAGACCAGAGCCAAAAAGAGAAAAGGAAAAGGGGTAGATCCTGACAAGATTGTTGGCATGAGATCCAGAGAAGACTGTAGCCCGTCCAACTGTTAATTACCACTTCTCAGAGGGCTGGAAAGATTTCTGTGTGTTAGCGGCTCACAAGCAATGGGATAAGGCTAAAAAAAGTAAACCCATACTTTCAATGCTTAGGTCTGCTTCTTCTTCATACTCCACTCATAATAATGTGGAATGAATGAAACCCTGAAAAATCACACATTAGGAAAAATTAAAAAATATACTTACTGTACACTTCAGCTTCCTTGTCACTTAGGCAAGGGTGAGGTTATAGGCCTTCCAGAGAAGTTTCAAACCTCACAAGAAGATACTCATGTGCTGTGCTGCACCGCAGTCCAAGCATTGTGGCAGGCGCAGCACCTTGTAGTGCCTTGTGCGCTGTGGGCATTAGAAAAAATATGCAATTGCTGTTTCTTTGTTTGATTAGACTGACTTTACTCTGTAATTCCTCCAATGCCGCTCTATGGATGCAGTAGGTTTAAAGAGCACACCGAATACTTTAGTTAACTTCTTTAATAACTTCAATCTTCTTCATATAACTGCTTACAATGGCTTGTTTCGTTTATCTTACAGTGGCTTATTTCTTTCGTATTACAGTGGTTTATTTTGTTTCATATTACAATGGGTTAATTCGGTGGATTATATCGGTGGAACTACAAGTAAACACATACAACAGATTTTACACACAGATCTACCTGCACTATTAAACAACAGAGGACCACACAATTGCATTAAATACCTATTTGGCCTTCTCTGCTTCCATAGAGCTTCTCTAACTGGAACTTTGTCTGTTTCCTCTTCTGTCTGATGAGCAAGTGACTGTAGAACAATCTAGCAGGGAGTTTTACACAGGCACAAATGTGAAACTGGCTGGGATTGGTTAAGGCTCTGTACAGTGTGAGGATGGCTGTGATTGGCTCACCTTGTACTGACTCCTAAAGGCATATTTTCCTTTTCTGCTTACACAATGAATATATAAATGTCATATAACAATCAAAGACATAAATTACAGCAATGATTCTGCTTTTGGCTTTAACTTATGCACATATACACTGTACTGAGGTTATTGGCAGGTTTGGTATACACATATATGTGAACCATATTAGCAACCTAGGACTGGTCTTAGCTGGCCAGCTACAAGCGTTACTGTATGTTACAATGTGTGGTAAAATGTAATTTTCACCAGACATTTCCCCAATGCACAGGTCTGAATAGGGCCTAAAGGACACCTTCACTAAAAGTGGAACTGACCTTTATGTGTATTACATATTGGGCAAGATTTGCTAAAACTGAAGCACTCAGAATCTGGTGTAGCTGTGCATGGTAGCCAATCAGCTTGTTCATATAAGCTTTGCCTATAAAACTTGGAAGTTGATTGGTTTCTGTGCAGATCTGCATCAGATTTTGCACCATGCAGTTTTAGTAAATAACCCCAATTATATCATAGGCTTTACTCCAAATTCAGTTTATAAACTTTGGACTGTTCGAGGCACCATTAGCAAGCTGCAGCTATAGATAAAAAAAACAAGCCCGGTAGATGTAGTTCATAGGTTTTAAAGATCTGCCACAAGATATATCAAGTTCAGTATTGAGCAGCCAACTCCTACCATCAGTTGCCTTTATGCTAGTATTTATTAAAGTAGGCTATGAAAAAATACACATTTTTAAGCTATGTTTTGTTTTCCATTTCACGTTTTATCAATAAAACATTTTACATCAAATATAATTTTGCCAATACCAAATGCCCCTCGCAATATGCACCAGCTTGTCTTTTTTATTCTCCTTGCAGCTAAAACATCAATAGTGAGAGCATGGAAGAAACCCTCTTTAACTTTACAGCAGGTCAAGCACAAAACCATGTGGTGAAATCCATGAGAAGATTCCCAGTGTCATGAACAAGGTGGATCAATCTGAGAAGGCATGGGATCCCTGGGCACAATATATACCAGTCCAGCTGACCACTCCTTCTGTTGCAGTGGTACCTACTACTGGAGATCTCTAGGTTTATTCTTTTCTTCATTCCTCTGCTTTTTAAATGGTGCTTAGAGAGCTGGGGGAGACAAAACAGCACCACACCAAACTTCCCAGTGAATGGCGGTGTGGTGGGGGGAGGGGGTCGTGTCAGCAGAAGTCTGATCATTAGAAGAGAACAGTTCCCAGCAAAGATAGAGAACTGACCACACTGTGCTCTCCTTCCTAGCGTGGTCATTATTCAATAGCAAAGCAGAGGGACTGGCAGGAACATCAGGTATGTCACACAAAAGAAGCAATACAAAGAGAACAAGATACTTTTTCATGCAAGTAAATAGTACAGCAGACACATATCAGGAATATGAATTGTTGGGTTTACATATTCTTTCATTTCTAAAAATACTAGTTGCATTTTTCCCAACGATTACAATACAAGCAACACATTTTTCTCCCTTAATAAATACTAGGGATGCACTGAAATTTCGGTGGCCAAAATGTTTTGACCGAAAACAACCCTTTCGGCCGTCAACCGATATGTAAAAAAGCATCGATACAGGTGCCGAAAAAACCCCACCCCTTGCTGCCGCCCACCCCTCACTACTGCCGCTCAGTAGTTCTCAGCCTTACCTGAGAAAACCTCAAACGATCCCGGCGCTGGGCATAGAGATTAGTGAAGGAAAGATGGCCTCCACTGATCTCATCTCTATGCCCTTGGAGGACTAGAGCGATGTCACTTCCGGTTCTGGACATTTTTTTTAAAGCACTAGATCAAAATGCTTTTTTTTTCATCCAGTGCTTTACATTGCAGAGGAGAGACATGGGGTCCTATTGACCCCATATCTCTCCACAAAGAGGACCTGTCACTAATTATTTCTATCACAAGGGATACATGCATTTCTTGTGATAAGAATAAATGTGATTACATTTTTTTTTTAAAAGGGACAGTGCAAAAAAAATAAATTAAAACATTTTTTTAAAGTGCCCCAATCCCCCCATGCTTGCACATAGTGGTGAACACATACGTAGGCCATGCCCACATATGTAAATAGTGTTCAAACCATACACATGAGGTATTGCCACGAACGTCAGAGCAAGAGCAATAATTTGCGCTCTAGACCTTCTCTGTAACTTTACACTGCTAAACTGTAGAAATTTTTACAGCATCACCCATTGAGATTTTTAAGTACCGCAGTTTCACGCCATTCCACGAGCGTGCACAATTTTAAAGCGTGACATGTTGGGTATCTATTTTATCACCGTAACATCCTCTTTCATATTTTATTAAAAAATTGTAGTATATATTGTTTTTTTAATCAAAGTGTATTTTTTTGCAAAAAATATATATTAATTTTAAAAACTGTGAATTTTGGTTTCGGTTTTCGGCCTAGTGCATTTTGAATTTTCATTTTTGGTTTCGGCACCAGAATTTTCATTTCAGTGTACCACTAATAAATGCCTAGACGTACAGCACAAGATACAATGCCATATTATGATACACCAATAAAGATGGAAGCCTCAGTGTGATAGTATCCATCAGGCTGTCTTGCCTTGCCCATTGAACAAAGATCAAGTCTGGACATGGTTTCATTTCCAAAATAATGTTTCTTGAAGGTTCTGTACAAACTTGGGTAAATGATTACTCCCTGAAAACAGATAAAAATTGGCATCATTCTATTTATCGTGAAACTATAAAACAGCCATACACATATGGAAGAGCTGAACATAGTTCTTTTAACCCCTTGGTGACTGAGGGTAAAAACCAATGTTAATGCCTGAACATAATTTTGCAAATGTGTTGGTAAAACCGTACATATAATAGCAACTCCAACTATCATCCAGATGGATTATACCTTGTTTTTTTAAGAACAAATTAGGCTTTCTTTTAGTAATTGGTAACAGATATCTCCTGTTTGTTTTTCCTATCATAAGAAAACTGGCTCAAGAGAGTAAAAACATATTTTTATTAGAATTTAACTGTATATTTCTTGCTATTACCATAATTTACCACCAAAGAACAACCCAAAATAAATTCTTCTGCTCCTTATGATTGCAGAAATACCATATATGTGTATGTTGTTGTTTGTACCTTAGTAGTACGCATTTTACCTTTTTTATCCTAGTTAAAGCACACTGACACGGAAACTGATACTAGTTCAAGAATGCTTATTAAAAAAAAAAATCTACTGAACATACACTGATGGTGACTTTTGGCCCAAGCATTTGATCCTTACCTTGACCCTAACCCTAATCCTGGCACCCTCAACCCTTGATCTAGCAAGGTTTTCTTTATTTTCTTTATTTTTTTTACCCACTTGCCCTCCGAAAGATTTACCCCCTTTCCTTACCAGGCCATTTTTTGCAATATGGCGTTGTGTTACTTTAACTGATAATTGCGTGGTCATGCAACACTGTACATAAATGAAATTTATGCCATTTTTTCTCACTAATAGAGCTTTCTTTCAGTAATATTTGATCATGCTATAAACAAAAAAAAAAGACTGACAGTTTTGAAAAAAAAACAAATATGTTTGACTTTTTGGTATAAAACATATCCAATAAAAAAAGTAAAAAAATTTAATTTTGTCATAATTTAGGCCAAAATGTATTCTGCTACATGTCTTTGCTAAAGAAAATACCAGTAAGTGTATATTAATTGGTTTACGGGAAAGTTATAGCATCTACAAATGGCGGAATATATACTTGAATTTTTTTAAATTATTATTTTGTATTTTTTAATACTAGTAATGGCGGCAATCAGTTATAGTGGGACTGTGGCAGGCATTCTGACACTGGGCTTGAACTGATTAACTGCCACTGACATCTCCAGTGACACTAATACAAAGCACTGACACTGTACTAATGACACGGGGCAGGAAGGGGTTAACATCTGGTGTGATCAAGGGGTTAACTGTGTGTTAGGGAGTGATTAGACTGTGTACTGTGTTGTGTTTTACTAAGGAGACCTGCTGATTTCTATCTCTCTGCTGTGATGTCCGCCATGGGGGTTATTTACTAAAACTGGAGTGCACTAAATCTGGTACAGCGCTGCATATAAGCCAATCAGCTTTCAGTTTTTTTTTTTTTGTCAAAGCTTAATTGAACAAGCTGCAGTTTGAAGCTGATTGGTTGCCATGCACATTTGCACCAGATTCTGAGTGCACCAGTTTTAGTAAATCTCCCCCATATGTTGGTAGCATGTTTCAATATACACAATGGGTAATTTTTTAGACACCTTTTAGTCTCTAGACAAATTAAAGTACTGAACAAAAATCCTTTCAGAATGAATAATGTTTTTGATATGGAAAGAAAATATTATTATTATTTCTATTATTATTCAGGATTTATGAAGCCAACAGTTTGCACAGCAGTTTACAATGTGAGGGCAGACAGTACAATTACAATACTATTTAATACAGAAGGAAACAGAGGGCCCTGCTTGTTAGAGCTTACATTCTATGAGGGAGGGTCAATTAATACAAACGGTAATAACTGTGGGGGATGATTGGATGGAGAAAATAAAGTACAGATATTAGGTGAGGGTAGGAAAGGCTTGTCTGAAGAGAAGGGTTTTCAGGGATCGTCTAAATGTAGACAGAGTACGGGACAGTTGGACAGACTGGGGCAGGGAATTCCATAGGATAGGAAAGACTTGGGAGAAGTCCTGGAGGCAGGCATTGGAGGAAATAACAAGGGAGCTAGAGGTCTTAGGAGGAACAAAAAAGGATGATTCGGTTGGTATTTTGAGACTAGGGAAGTGATGTAGCTGGGGCCGGGTTGGTGGATGGCTTTGTAAGTTGTTAGTATTTTGAATTGAATTAATTTGGAGAGCGTAAGCCAGTGGAGGGATTGGCAGAGAGGCGTAGCAGACGCTGAGCGGTTGGTAAAATGGATGAGCCTGTAGCAGCATTCATGATGGAGTGAAGAGGGGATAGCCTATGTAAAGGAAATCCAATGAGGAGGGAGTTGCAGTAGCTAAGGTGAGAGATGACCAGGGTGTGAATTAGAAGCTTTGCGATGCCATTGGTTAGGACGGGGCATATTGTGGAGATATATTGTAGGCTGAGGCGGAAAGCTTTGGACAATGATTGGATGTGGGGCTGAAAAGATAGTTCAGAGTCCAGGATAACACCTAGCATCTTGGCATTCGGGGATGGGTTGATAGTTGTGCTTTCAATCTTGAGAGAGAAGTCAGGGGATGGGGCACGTGGGGGAGGAAATATTCTGAGGTTGGTTTTGTATAGATTGAATTTTAGGCAATGGTGTGACATCCAGGCTGATATGTTCGTTAGTAGATTAATGATGTGTGTGGGGTAGAGAGATAGATTTGCTTGTATAAATTGTATTGGAAGCCAAGGGAGGCTATCAAATGACCCAGGGAGGAGGTGTAGATTGAGAATAGGAGAAGTTCAAGAACAGAACCTTGGAGGACCCCAGCGAAGAAAGGAAGAGGAGAGGAGGAAGTGGCACTGAAGGTGCGGTGAGATAGGTAGGAAGAGAACCCTTGAAGAATACAGTCAGTAATGGAGTAGAGTTTTTTTGAGGAGGAGGGGGTGGAATAGTGTCCATGGATTTTAGCTGTAAGTAGATTGTTTGTGAGTATTAGGAGAGCAGTTTCTGAAGAGGATCAAGAAGGTTATTTTCAGTAAGATGGTCATGCAGTTGGCTGCAGACTAGGCGCTCAAGGAGTTTGGAGGAAAATGAGAGCAAGGAGATTGGCGTAGGTTGTTAGGTGGGGTCCAGTGAGGGCTTTTTAGCATGTATCTTACCTCCAGCAAATGTTTAGTCTACATTTCCTTTGGTAAGATTAACCTCCCTGGCAGTATTCCTGAGTGTAGCTCGGGGTAAAGTTTCAGTACCACAAGCGGTAACCCCGAGCTACACTCGGGCTTACCATGCGACGCTGCTCTGGGATCCCTCGATCACTTACCTTGTCCTGCGCTCCCGCGATTTCCCTCCTGCAGTGTCCCCGGCAATGTAATCCGGCGAATGCCGGCATCTGTCATCTGGGTTCCGTCCCCTGTGACGTCGGGACATACGGGGATGGAACGGTGGGAAATTTGAAAATGACAAAAAGTCACATTCACTAAAATCACATAGTAAAACATTACTGTATCAAAGCATTTCACATACATTTTGTCCCTAGTGCTTTGTCCTGTGCCCTGCCTGCATTTTTACTGTTCTTTCTGCCTGGAAACTGAGAAACGTCCATGGCGTCCAAAAAACATCCCTTTAGGTCAAAAGTGGTTTTAGACCGGCTAGAGAACAGCGATAGTAAATCAGAACCACTTGCAGAATTGAGTGATTATGATTCGTGGGGAAATTTGTCCTCAGCCACTGAAAATGATATTGCGACTTTGCTCAGTGATGTGTGAACTTGGAGCTATATTTCAAATTTCAGTGTTTTTTGGTTTGATTATATTATTGAATTAAATTTATTATTATATTATTATTTTTTATGATTATTTATTAAATTATAATTTATGATTTCGTGTTTCAAGTTTTATCCTACCCGGGATGTTTACTAGACTCTTGTTTGGACAGATTTCAGTGAGTTATTCCTAAAAATTCCAGGCCTACAATAAAAAAACTACATATTTCCATGCAAAAAAATGTACCGCTTTGAGCACAGAAATATTGACATAATCATACTGCTAGGGAGGTTAAAATAAGATTAAATGGCTTATTTATCTACTTTAGTGTATTTCTTTTAATATCCTGTTGAAAATTAAAATATAAAAATACCAGCTACATCAGGGATTTCATGCCACCTTTAGCCCTAAATGACTGGTCGGCAGGTAGCTTTATCCCAGCTGTTATGACCATTCTGTTGCACTGCCCAGAAATCTATCCTCTTCTGGACTTGGAGTTGCTGTCATAGTTTTAGAACATTTAAAGGTGGTACACAAAAGAAAGGCAGGCGAATGTGGTAGAGGTGATTACGTACTGGTTAAAAAACAAACAAACTAGGATCTCTTCTTAAAAGGACTCACCTGCTCTTGTAACTCTGGAGCACTTTCCATCTTCATAAGCGTCAAATGTGGTATACAACTTCTATTTTCTATTTTAAATAACTCTTTGTCTTTGAATGTATTTTTTACAGTGTCTGTAGGTTAATGAGAGAATGCAGCAATAAAATCACATGTGCAACTATATGTTTAAAGTATCCATTTTTAGCAAAAAAATATTTATCAAAATGGTAAAATCCCCTTTAGAAGAATTAGAACATGCTGGTTAGGATGTAAATTTAGACTGGCGTGTTTCAATTAAGAGTTAGGGGGAAATTTGCTAAAACTGGTGCACTCAGAATCTGGTGCAGCTGTGCATGGTGGCTAATCATTTTCTAACTTCAGCTTGTTCAATTAAAGTGTTACTAAACCCACAACAGTAAAATCAGTCTGTATGTGCAGTAAAGCATGCTTGTTATACTCACTGTAGCACGTAAGGGACTAATCCTCTGCATTGTGTAAAAAGGCTGTTTGATCCTGTCTTCTATGCCCCTCCTCTTGTTGAAATGGCCACCTGATGCAGACTGAACCTGTGGTAACATGCGCATGCTCAGTTTGATGTGTATTGCTAGAGAGGTTTTTTTGGGAGGATACATGTGATCAGCACGGGCCCAATCAGCATTGTCCAGACAGGGGATCAGAGGTTTCACATCCTCCTAGAGCAGAAAGAAAACTCCTCCTACAAGCTTTAACCAGTGCTCAGCTGAAGTCACAAGACTGCTCTAACTGCTGATGAGAAAAGGTATTTAGTAGTTTATATTTACTAAAATAATTGCATTTCCATGTTGTATGTACTGTGGAAGACCAGATATAGTGAATGCAGGGTCCTGGGTTTAGTAACACTTTAAGCTTTGACAATAAAACCTGAAAACTGGTTGGTTTCTAGGCAGAACTGCACCAGATTTTACAGTCTCTAGCTTTAGTAAATCAACCCAAGAGTCTAGCTGCAGAAAAACTCAGAACTTGTATTGCAGAGAATGCCAACTACAAACAACCCCACGGGGAGGGCACCGCCTAGGATAACACTTACAGTTCAGTTCAGGCAGCATGGCAGCGATAAAGATGCACCAACAGCATCTGTCTTCAGAGGGCGGAAAGCAGCCTGGCTGGTCCGGTCCCAAAGAGGAGGCTACAGTAAAGGATTGTGAGTCCCTAGTCTTTCCCTACTCATCTGGAATCTTTCCCTGTCACTATCTCTTTCCCTGATAGGTGAGTGCTCTTTCTCTACAATAGATGTGCATGCCAAAACCTAGGGGCAGGGACATATAAAGACTTTGCTGACCTAAAGATGACTGCCAGATTTCATCTGGATGCAGCATAGCCAACCACACAGCTGTCTCCAGAAACATCCTCTCCAGGCGGTGGTTCTGCTCTGGTAGGGCACCACCTACAGTAGAGGAAGTGGACTGCAGCTGCCTGCAAGCTGAACTCACACAATGCAAAACAATAATATCGACTGTTAACGTTTAGTTGCGGACAGTTTATCTGTGTTTAAAAAAATACAGAAAGTGCTACATCCAGGGTCGATATCTGCAGCTAAACACACATTGAGTTTAGCTGCACATAGCTGCAATGCGTTTAGCAGCAGAAAATGACACACTTCCCCTGTTCTTCCTGAAATGTTGGTATTCCTTTCTCATGTCGGTATTCATTCTTTGCATACATGGTCTAACAATAGTTAGTACGCTTTCAAAAGTGGACACCGACATTCTGGTAATGTTGTGAAAAGTATGGGGATAGGTTCTGATTTCCTCATACATCAGGACAAAATATCCCCTAGAGGCTGGGATGTTATGGGATGTATCCATCTTTGCTTCATTTGGTTCTCTCTCTGCCTCTCTATCTGCCTCAGGACCAGTTCACACCAGAATGTGGTGTGGGAAAAGTGCATTCTGTTTGCATTTTTCCACATTGAAGGCGACGGCACTGCCCTTGCGATCTGCATGCGGGTGCTAAATAATTGTCACCAGCACCCTAAACGCAGATCACAAAGCAGTGCTTTTATGGACACCAAATCACACAATTCCGTAGCACCATGCACTTTGGTGCAGTGTGTTTTTAAAAGTAGTGCTGTGCATGTGAACCGACCCTCAGTCTTCTTCTTCTCTCAAGCAGGCACACGATGCTAAGCACTACATTTTTTCTGCAAAAAAAGTCTATAATTGCTGATGCAGCTAAACACAGCTAAACTCATTTACAAAACTCAACTGTCTGCATGAACAATTTCAACTTTTTCAAATGAAGATTAGCAGTTGTCAGATACAAACACCCATGTGAATGTAGCCTAAAGATGATGGAATGGAAATATGGAGGAAAAGAAAAGGATCACATAGGAAGGGTAAACATGGAAAGAAGAGTGAAATAGTGAACAGTAAAGCAGAGGGAGACGTGGGGCATGCAACTGGATGGTGTACCACTGAATGTATGCAATAATCCCCTGGTACTGCTGAAAGCAAACAAAATATGCCCCTTTCTCTTTTTATTATAAAGCATATAATGTATAATTTTACCTTTCGATTGTATTCTAACATTAAAATTGTGCAACTACATATTATGATCACTAGATGGCAACAGAACAATGTATCTCATATTATTTAAGCTGCTGTAACTGTTCTTTGGGCATTCACTAAGAGATAAATACTGCATTAATTTTTTAGTTAAAATAACTCATGCGGTATTTATTTCAAAAGTAGTCAATTTACCAAAAAACATGCTTTATTTACCGAATGTGTTAAATATTTATGTTTTGGGATATTTAGCACTTAAATTTTGCATTATTTTTGGTGTTTTTTCACAATTTTTTTTTTGCAGGCTAACATTGCACCAGTATGCACACAGCAATACTGTGAAACTGTAAACATTGTAGTGTGCTTCATTCACAAAACGATCTCCCTCTGATGAAATGTTACAATTTATTTTCATTCCTGAGCTCAGAGGAGCACATTTTTACACTGATACATTGTACACGTTCACTTTCTGGCCAGTGCAGAGTTCCTCTAATTGTTGTTTTGTACATTTCTAAAATACCACCAGCAAACACCTGGTGATAAATAATGAATGTGTGTTTTTTTTTAATAATTGACTTTAATGGTTTATCTCATGTTTTTTTTGCGGTATTTATCTCACTATTTTAACAACTGTGCTGTATTTACCTCACATTCGATATTTTACTTTGATGCACAGTGGCTAAATGGTTAGCACTTCCGCCTGGCAGTACTAGGGTCATTAGTTAGAATCCCAGCCATGGCACCTCCTGCCTGGAGTTTGCATGTTCTCCCTGTGCATGTGTGGGTTTCCTCCGGGTACTCTGGTTTCCTCCCACACTCCAAAGACATTCTGGTAGGTGAATTGGATCTTGTCTAAATTGGCCCTAGTATGTGTATGTATGAATGTGAGTTAGGGACCTTAGATTGTACACCCCTTGAGGGTTAGGGACTGATGTGAATGTACAATATATATATATAAAGTGCTGTGTAAACTGACGGTGCTATATAAGTGCCTGAAATAAATAATAAATAAATAATGAATTGACTCATTTATTATCTCATACGATAGTTCTGAAAAATTAGTCACTTGACTTTCATATCGCATGCGGTAACCTTTAGTGAATTGACCCCTAGATGTCCTTATTTTGTTTAGCTGTGTGCACATACAAAGCAATGCTCAGAACACATTTGTGGGCTCTGGCAAATCGATACAAACCTTTAATATGCATAAAACAGCTATCTTCCTTTAGCTGCTGTGTTTTCTGTCTTTAGTGATCTATTATGCTTTGTTCACATGGGTGCTGAGGCCCATACAAAAGATGGCACCTCTCATCTCTATGGGCTCTAACTAAGCAGGCATAGCCAGTTGGGATACAGTATTGCCAAGGACGAATGCAAAGCCATGGCTTGGGGAAGGCCACTATTATCATATTAATGTATCAAGTAGGTTCAGAAGGGTGGGGGACAGCAGAAAAAAAAGATAATTTTAGGAATGTGCTGATGAGAGTAATAAAGTCCACTGGTGGCCCTTAGCTGTCGAGCCCGGGAAAGGTGCTCAGTATTTGGAGGATGGATCATTGGTTGGTTTTTGCCCGTCACCCCACACATCAGTAAGAGTTGTCGGGCAAAGCCCTATATTGCCCAGAAGACAGTGTTATGTTGGGGGTCGGCTCGGCTGCTCGTTTAGGCCATGTGTGAGGCAGCCTGCCACTCGTCAACACTTTAATGATTCAGAAAATAACAGACAGAAGAAGCAGTCCTATTCAGGGGCGGACTGACCACTCATGGGCCTCCGGGCAATAGGGGATCATGGGGCCCCTGTGTCCTTGCCCAAACTCCAAAAAGCCTATGAAAAAGGTACCAGGGGCATCTCATGGGGCCCCCTACTGACCCCGGGCCCTCGGGCAGTGCCTGAGTTTCCAAATGGTCAGTCCGCCCCTGGTCCTATTACAGGTACCTCCCAGAGTACGATTTTTGAAACAGAATGGAAAGGGGTGCAACATAGCAACAGGATACAGGGTTAAAGGTGCGCCATGGAACATAAAATCTAAATTAACACTATTTGCTGAGTTGTTTAGGGGTGAGCGCTTACCAGTAATTTCTTTAAGCTTAGCTTTTGCCGAATCCTCAGCTATCTTTGCAAAGACAACTTGATTATTAAACTCAGATACACCAAGAAACTGAAGATTCAAATCTCTTCCCTGCAGAATGTGCTCAATCTTCACCTTACACTCCAAAAGTGCATCAATCGCTCTAGGAAAAAAAAATAGAACAAATGCATGTCAGTGTAAAGCAACAGATGCATAGTTACTTTCCCTTCACTCCCTGACTACTCCATTCAGCAAAGTAAAACAAGTGATCGTTCCTCTCATGACAACACTCTTTGTAAATTGCCTTACTGGAATTGATATAGAAGCTATGCAGGGCTCCTCCTGGCCCCATTAGGAAAACAGCTGACTTGTATTTAACCAACTTTAAGCTGCTTTTGCATTCCTATAGACTTGTATGGGGAGAAGGACATTTCTTATTTGAGCAAGAGCCTACTGACTATTGAACCACCTGGCTGGCCAGACTGGTAAAAATAGGACTGGTTTGCTACGTAATTAATAAGCAAAAGATTATAAGGACAGTATTTTTTTCCCCAAAAAAGGTGGCAGCCTTATCATCCACACAGGCCCTTATGTGAACCTATTGATTTTTTTCCTTTATGTTTGAAATAAAAAAATGTTGGAGTGACATGTGTTTTTAAAAAGAGCTGGATGTGTTCCTAAATGTACAAACTATAACTGAATGTTAACAATTATTAGTTATAATACCAGAGATTGTTGATCCATACTGAATACTGAATTGTCATAGGGGATTGGGTAGGATTTTTTTTCCTGTTGGAGCAAGCTGAACCAAGGTCACGGTAGACCAGGGTTTTTTTTCCTTCCTCTGGATCAACTGTGGGTATAGGGTTCCGTGTTTGGGGTTTTTCTATTATTGGCTGAACTCAATAAACTTGTGTCTTTTGCTCATAGCAAACCTATTACTTTAACTGCTGTCAATGTACGTTTCAAAATGAAAAGAGAGAAGCTAGTCCCTGTAGGCAACATACACTGATGCTATTTCAGATACCTTTACACATAAAACCTATTTCTCAACATTCAATAACAAAGGGGACACATCTGCTCTCACATCTCAAGTTAGCATGTATTTAGTCCTTCTCCAGCAAAAGCTTTATTTTTTATTTGATTTCAGTTTTTCTGGAAACAGAAATATAAATAACCATCAACAGCTTTATTTGACTACAGAATATTTCATACATACACGCTCACATCTTCTTCTCTGGTTATTTCCATCACAAAGAGCGTAAGGTGAAATGAACACTTCTTTTTCATCACTGAAGAAAATCTGTCATCCTTTCGTACACAATCTTGAAAAATCTGGATGTTTTCAAGGACCTAAGCATACAAATAAAGTGGCAGTTATCTCAGTTGTAACTTTGCATTTTCTAACTGGAAACACATTTGTTGAATGTAATGTCACTTTGTTTCTCTTGGAGTATTTCAGTCTGAAGTCAGGCCAGTTAAGTATGGTGTTCCTCAGGGCTCAATCTTGGGCCCCTTACTTTTTAGGATTTACACGTTTCCACTTGGCCAACTGCTTAGAACACATGGGCTCAATGGTCACCTCTATGCAGTACATACATACTAAACCGGATTCTACTTTGGCTGCTTCTCTCCTATCTAACTGTATTTGTGATATAAAAACTTGGATGGCCCATAATTTCCTTCAATTAAACTGTGAAAAGACTGAAGTCATGCTTATTGGCACCCCCATCAGCTGTGTAAGGCCAGTCCTGGTAGCCTATCTATCAATCACACTGTTCTTGAGTTTCAGTAAAAAATCGTGGGGAGATATCTGACGCTAGCTTAAAATTTGATTCACATGTGCAAAATTATTATTATTATTATTATTAATATACAGGATTTATATAGCGCCAACAGTTTGCTCAGTGCTTTACAATATAACGGGAGACAATACAGCAACAATACAGTTAAATACAAGAGGGATAGGAGGGCCCTGATCCTGGGAGCTTACAATCTAGGAATGTTGTAGGAACATCTTTTCTTCCACATGAGAAATATTGCTTGGCTGTGTCCTATGCTATCATATACTGTAGCTGAAAAGCTGATCCATACATTTGTGTTCTCCGGACTCGACTATTGCAATGCCTTACTCACTAGTGTACCTAAGTACACTATTAGTCGACTACATATATGTTCAAACTTCAGCACCCAGAATACTCACTAGGTCAGGTACAAGTGACCATATTACCCATATCCTAGAGTCCTTGCACTGGCTACTTGTCAGGTTTCACATAGACTTTAGGATCCTCTTGCTCATCTATAAGGCTCTTCATAGCTTGGCACCCCATTATCTGTATGGACTTTTATCAACTTACTCCCCTTCCTCGTAACCTCCACTCCTCAAATGTTCTTGTGCCCCCACCCCACACTCACCTACACTTGATGGGAGACACAGCCTTCTAGTGCTTTACTCCAAAAAGTCTGAAATTCACTTCCAAGGAACATCAGAGAGTCATCTTCTCTAAACTCAAATAAAATCTAAAAACTTTTTTCTTCAATAAGCTTTCACTTAATGGTCCCTTTTTTCCTTTGTTTTATCCTGTGTATTTCTTTTGTTTTCTTTGTAAAGTGCTTTGAGATGATACCTTTTAAAGGTTTAAAGTTTATTCTTATTATAATGTAAGTCATAAATGTTCTTGAAAGCATTATGATAAAGCTCTTTGTCCGAATAACCACATGTACAAAGTAAGTCTGTCAATATTAAATATGGACAGTGTTGTCACAGAAAACTCATTCTACATAGTTCACCTGTGCACCACCTTACTGTGCTCCATCCCTTTGTATGTCCCCATCAGAGGAGACACACTTTGGACACCGCTAATAACTGAAAGGTAAAAAGTAGCCTGGGGTTGGGGTTCAAAAAACAGTTTCCAGATGATTTTCTGACATTTGCAATCTCCTTGGCTGCCTCTCTACTCAGTACTTGTTACCAGTAAACTCATTCCCAATACACCTGTCACTGGGGGTGCTCAAATCAGTTTTCAACTTGGAAGAATCATCCTTAAAAATTAGGGTACTAAGTTTCACACAAGTATTTATGGATTAGATCAATGTTTAGTGCAAACTTATATTAGCTGTTAGCATATTTGTCCGAATGCTGATTGTTTAGGGCAGGGGAGTCCAACCTTTTGACTTTCCCGGGCCACATTGGAAGAAGTGGAATTGTCTTGGGCCACACATAAAATACCCTAACAATAAGGATAGCTGAGGAGCAGAAACAGTTGGGCAGATCACAAGTTAACGATCAATGATATAGATCTCCTAGATTGTAAGCTCGAAAGAGCAGGGCCCTCGATCCCCTCATGTTTTGCACTGTATTGTTATTGTTCTGTCACATGTTCTGTCCCCCTTTGTAATGTACAGCGCTGAGTGAACTATTGGCGCATTATAAATACTGTATAATAATAATAATATTGTACCTATCTAACAGGAAAGTCTTGGCAAGTTATTGGAACACAGTGCTGTATGCTGTATATATCCTCAGCTACATGCAGTTTATACAGCACATCCAGTGGCCTCACATGTTAGTAAGGGGCATAGTTCATTTGAACCAGCTTGGCCCAAGCAATCTATATAAAGTGTACCAAAAGCTGGACTTCAGCTTTAATTTTTCTGGCACTTGATTATTTGCATAGTGAATTATCACCACATTCAGTAAGCCATAGTTCCCAACTGTCACTTATTTGGAAGGACTGTCCCTCTCTTGAGACCAAATCCCTCCATCCCTCGTGTGGTCTCAGTTGTCCCTCTTTTAGGTCTGATATGTACATCTCTATACAAAATGGACTATTTTACTACCGAAAATGTTATAATGCACTAACTTTTTATCCAACCTCTATATTACTGTATTTCTTATTTTGTGTGGTTTAGTCAATCATTTTCTGCATAATCAAACTTTGTGGCCCACGTAAGCAGGACTGTGGCAGGCATGTGTCCTTAGCCTGCATACGGTGTGTTTACAGCATCTTTTATAGTGTGTTAGAAAGCTGGGAGGAATGACTAAGCTAAGTGAAAATTACCATAAAAAGTAAAAATTCACACAATATAAATTCACACTCCTTTAGTAAATCAGCCTCATTATGTCAATTAGGAACAGTATGTAGCTGGCCACTTTCATCACACTTTAGTGCACAAGGTTATTCCTGCATTAATTCTAAACAGATGCAGCATATAATCTTAAAATAAAAAGTCTCAGATGTATACCATAAGTGTGGGAATTGTCTTGTGTTTATTGTTGATGGTGCACTGCAGTGTCTGCATCCAGCACTTGTTGACTAATGCGTGGCATGTACACCACTCTAAACAAGATTGCTACATTCACTGTAGAAGATATACCTTTTCATTTGTAATGCGAAAAGAAACAAAATAATTAGCAACCAAGCGTTTCTTTCTTTTTTTTCCTCTTTGATTCGAAAGCATGTTTTGATTTTGTTTCCTTTGTCTGTTTTACTTGATTCTAAAGGGAAAAAAGAAGTTTCATTTTAGTAGAAAATACAGCATATAAATGTATTCTGTATCTTTTCTTAAACTGAGCATTGCAGGAAATGATGTTGTTTTTGTAGGGCCGAACCTCTTGAAACCTTTAGTGTACCCTTACACATGTACCCGGGTTAAAGTGCTTCAAAATGCATTTTTTATAAAAATTTAAATAATAAGCATGCGATGGTGATGCACAGTGCGGCCCCCCTCCCTTAATTCTGGAGTCTCCTTCGGTGCGCTACGCTTCTCCTTTTCTGTGTCTGCCCCCACAGCAAGTGGTCTGATAAGGGGGCAGATGTTCAGGCTTACTCCCAAGCCAGCTAACCCCCCCCCCCCCCCCCCCCCCCCGCTCACTGCTCAGAACATCAGGGGTGTATTTACCACAAAGCAAACAAGGCATTTGCCTAGGGCGGCATCTTTCAGGGGGGCAGCAGCATTTTTCAGGGGGCAGTGTCACCCCCTTAACCTCCTTGGCGGTATTCCCGAGTGTAGCTCGGGGTAGAATTTCTATACCAAGAGCGGTAACCCCGAGCTACACTCGGGCTTACCATGCAGCGTTCTCTGGGGGTCCCTGCAGCACTTACCTTGTCCTTCGCTCCCACGATGGGTCCCCTGCAGCGTCCCCGTCCATCTCCTCCGGCGGATGCCGGCACCTGGCTTCCGTGTTCCGGTCCCCGTGACGTCGGAACGTTCGGGCGGCGGAACCGGCGGGAAATTTGAAATTTTTAAAAAATGACATTTTTGCTGTCATTGCTTTTTCACTGCATTTCACATACATTTTGTCCCCACTGCTTTGTCCTGTGCCCTGCCTGCATTTTGACTGTTCTTTCTGCCTGGAAACTTAGAAAAGTCCATGGCGGCCAAAAAGCGTCCCTTTACGTCAAAAGCGGTTTTAGAACAGCGATAGTAAATCAGAACCACTTGCAGAATTGAGTGATAATGATTCGTGGGGAAATTCGTCATCAGACACTGAAAACGATTTTGCGACTTTGCTCAGTGATGTGCGAATTTGCCTCTGTATTTCAAATTTCAGTGTTTTTGGTTTGATTATATTATTGAATTAAATTTATTATTATTATATTATTTTTTATGATTATTTATTAAATTATAATTTATGATTTCGTGTTTCAAGTTTTATCATATCCGGAATGTTTAATAGACTCTTTTTCGGATAGATTTTAGTAAGTTATTCCTAAAAATTACAGCCTACAATTAAAAACTACATATTTCCATGCAAAAAAATGGTACCGCTTTCAGCACAAAATTCCTGACATGATCATACCGCCAAGGAGGTTAAAGGGATGGAAGGAGAGACACAATTAGCATGGGGACCAGGTGGGATCTGATAGAGGCTGTGGGTTGCTTGATGGTGTATGCAGAGCCTGACTCTTGTTCCCAGGGATGTCCAGAGCTGTGAAGGTGAGTGTCTTCTCTCTCACCGGGGTGGGGGGGGTTGCCAGTGTATGGGGGGAGGTGGTAGTAGAAGGCTCTCTCTGGTGGGGGGGATGGGGTGTTGTTGGTCAATGTCAAACACTCTTCGTTGGGGAGGGCGGTGTTGGTTGGTGTCAGGGTTTCTTAGGGGCGGACTGACAACTCATGGGGCCTCCGGGCAATAGGGGATCATGGGGCCCCTGTGTCCTTGGCCAAACTCAAAAAAGCCTACGAAAAAGGTACCAGGGGCATCTCATGGGGCCCCCTACTGACCCCGGGCCCTCAGGCAGTGCCTGGGTTTCCAAATGTTCAGTCTGCTCCTGGGGTCTCTCCATACGGGGGCCAATTTTTGTGTTGCCTAGGGCAGTACAAAACCTAAATACACCACTGCACAGGATATGTCTGCCAGTGGCAGGTGCCAATTGCTCCCGCTGCTGCATGAACATCCTGTTAAAAGAGAAAGACATGGGAAAAGAACTGCAGATGGTCACAGTGCTGGATCAATACAGGACTCAGGTAAGTGTTTAGGGGGATGATGGGCCACAGCAAATGGCAAAATGCAGGAAATACATTTTAGCTTTAGACCCAGTCTAGTTAAAGTGGTTGTAAAGGCTTAGGGTTTTTTACCTTCATGCATTCAATGCATGAAGGTAAAAAACCCTGTGTGCAGCAGCCCCCAGTAATACTTACCTGAGCCCCATCGCGATTCAGTGATGTGCACGAGAGCCTCGACTCTTCAGGAACTCTCCCTCCTCATTGGCTGAAACAGCAGTGGGAGCCATTGACTCTTTTGCTGTCAATCATAGCCAGTAAGCCAATGAGGGGAGAGAGGGCATGGGGGCTGAGCCTTGGCACTGTGTGTGAATGGACATGCAGTGCAGCAGCTCAGGAGCGTGCCTCTTGCTTGCTGTGGGGGTACTTGTCAGGAAGGAAAGGCCAAGAGCACCAGCGGGGGACCCGAGAAGAGAAGTATTAGGACTGCTCTGTGCAAAAGCACTGCACAGAGCAGGTAAGTGTAACATGTTTTTTTTTTTTTCAAATAATTGTCTTTAATATCACTTTAACAAACAAGGACCAGAATAAATCAGATGAACCAACAGCAGGATGTTTTTATTTTTGCTTTTTTACCTCAATTCTCTTTATGATGGAGGGTAAAACAAATTCTAAAGCATTAACACAGTTTTGCAACTTTGGCATGTGTTAGTAAAACTGTACATGATGGCAGAGTGTCTGACTGGTGGTATGGTCGGCCTTTGATGCATTTTGGGGACGTGTTCCTTTCCTCAAAGCTACAAAAAGTACTTTTATGTATGATATTTGTTGCTTACATTTTTAGTAGGGCCCTAAAAAATAGAGTGCATTTTGCTTTTCTTTTTTGCACAGCACAGCCATCCACAGCAGTGTGCTTACAGTGAAGTACCAACACACACCGCCCCCTAGTAAAACACTCCTTGCACACTGTTAACCCTTTGATCGCCCCTCATGTTAACCCCTTCCTGCCCAATGCCATTAGTACAGTGTCAGTGCTTTTTTTTCCACACTGATCACTGTATTGATGTCACTAACACCAAGTCAGTTCCCCCCAGTGTCAGAATGTCCGCCGCAGTCCCGCTATAAGTCACTGATCGCCGCCATTATTATTATTAAAAAGAAAAAAAATTCCAGTATCTATACCGCCATTTGTAAACGCTATAACTTTCACGTAAACCAATTAATTTACATGTATTGGAATTTTCTTTAGCAAAGACGTCACAGAATACATTTTGGCCTACGATTATGATGAAATTTGATTTTTAACATTTTTTTACTGGGCATGTTTAACCTCTTCCCTACCACGCTAAAGACGGCTACAGCGTAGTTGTCTAGTTCTGGGATGATGTCCATAGACGCCATCCCAGAACACATCCCCTGCGCACCCCCAGCAGCGCAATCCCGGTGCCGCCGGTGATCACTGTGTCCTACGGACACATCTGATCACGTGATATGTTAAACGGCCAATCACAGCGGCCTTTTACCACATGATCAGCTGTGTCCAATGACACAGCAGATCACCAGGTAAATACAGTTGCCGGCTATTGTCACAGCGTGAGGAAAGTACTGCTGATAACTGGCAATTGTCAGAGAAGTGATCGGCACTGATGATCAGTGGCCAGCAGTGCCGCCCACCTATGCCACCCACCTGTGCCCTGCAGTGCCACCCACCTGTGGCCTGCAGTGCCACTCATCTGTGCCCATCAGTGCCACCTATCAGTGCAGCATCATCAGTGCCGCCTATCCGTGCCACCTCATCAGTGCCCATCAGTGCTGCCTATCAGTGCTGCCTCATCAACGCACATCAGTGAAGGAGAAAAATTACCTGTTTGCAAACTTTTATAACAGAAACAAATAAAAACTTTTTTCCACATTTTTTGCTCTTTTTTTGTTTATAGCGCAAAAAGAAAAACACCCAGCGGTGATTAAATACCACCAAAAGAAAGCTCTATTTGTGTGAAAAAAATTATAAAAATGTCATATGGGTACAGTGTTGCATGACCGCACAATTGTCATTCAAAGTGAGACAGCGCTGAAAGCTGAAAATTGGCCTGGGCAGGAAGGGGGTATAAGTGCCCGGAAGGCTAGTGGTTAATAGCAAAAAGTAAAAACGATTGTTTTTTTCTCAAAACTGTCGGTCTTTTTTTTTATTATGCAAAAAAATAAACAATGCACAGGCGATCAAATACCGCCAAAAGAAAGCTTGATTTGTGGGAAAAAAGGACAAATTTCATTTGGGTGCAACGTTGCATGACCGCGCAATTGTCAGTTAAAGTAACACAAAACATAGCCTGGTCAGGAAGGGGGATAAATCCTCAGGAGGCCAAGTGGTGTAGTATCAGGCTGCAACATAACAACACTGATAGTGATTGTGAATACTTCATGAATGCGCTGTATATTACTATGAAATCAGGGGCGGACTGACCATCTGGAACCTCGGGCACTGCCCGAGGGCCCGGGGTCAGTAGGGGGCCCCATGAGATGCCCCTGGTACCTTTTTCGTAGGCTTTTTTGAGTTTGGGCAAGGACACAGGGGCCCCATGATCCCCTATTGCCCAGGGGCCCCATGAGTTCTCAGTCCACCCCTGTATGAAATACTACTTTTACATGCTGTGCATAATGTCCATGTTTCTCCCTCATCCATCAATGCTTACGTTGTATATGTATACCGTACATTCACTACATGTAACCTTTTCAGCCATCTCCTTTCATCATTCACCATCATCAGAGATACAAGGATACACTTCCTGTCATACACAATGGCATTTCAGCAGCAGATGACATTTAGGCGGGGCTAAACATTTGAACCAATCAGAAACGTCAGAATAGAGCTAGAACGTGGAGATAGTAACGTGCTCATGACACTCCTGAAAGCTGACCCACCTGATCACAGGATCCTCCGAGGAGTCTGTACACGTTTGGCTCTACTTACTGACCGTCCGGGCTGCAGCGACAGCAAGATGACTGCTCCGTGTGGTTCAGTGCACTGCACATGCGCAGTAGAAGCAGACGGTGGGCAATGCAGAGACTGGAGGGGAGAGATAAGGGCTGTGTAGGACAAGCAAGGCTCCATGTACACTGGGCTTAACAAAAACCTCCAGTTTCCTTAGCAAAAAAAAAATATTGGTATGGAGCGTTTTTGTATATAGTTTAGGAGAGTTTAGCATTTTTTTTGCTAGTAAGCTCCAATCAAAAACGCAAACTAGAAGGTTTTTTTTCCCCTGCCTTTAAAAGATGAGCTTAAACTATGCCTCTAATCAGTGGTGTCCAAGGTAGGTGTGGTGTGGAGTGGGTCTGCTGACACCTACCACACCGGGTGACACCAGACCCGCTGCACAAAAAGGTAAGTTGTAAAGCAAGCTGATGATCCCCTCAAGATGGATCTGATCCATCCTGCGGGGATCGTCGGATTTCTTACCTTTTTGTGGAGAGGGTCTGGTGTCACCCTGTATAGGTTGCATGCCAACGATCCCCACAGGATGGATGGGATCTGCGGATTGGGGAGCATAATGGATCCGATCCATGAAGCTCCCCAATCCGCAGATCTGATCCATCCTGCGGGGATCGTTGGAGGGGGTGTCACCAAGTGTTATTGCACCGGGTGACACCAACCCTAGGGACGCCTCTTCCTCTAATCGACCTGATGTGCATGAACACACAGGATATCACCAGGGGCGGACTGACCATTTGGAAACTCAGGCACTGCCCGAGGGCCCGGGGTCAGTATGGGGCCCCATGAGATGCCCCTGGTACCTTTTTCATAGGCTTTTTTGAGTGTGGGCAAGGACACAGGGGCCCCATGATCCCCTATTGTCCGGGGGCCCCATGAGTTGTCAGGCCGCCCCTGGTATCACTGAGCTGCTTCTACAGACAAAACTCCTGTAGAAGCAGTGATTTTTAAGCCAGTGTGCATGGAGCCTATGGGCCAGTTCACACCACAAAAAAAAACACACTCCAGATGCATTCAGTATATGTTTTTACTTACAGTTCACACCACACACAGTTCCGGTGCAGTTTTGATGCAGTTTGCCAGGCTCCAGTATGGTTCTGTGCAGAAAAACTGCAGCATGTTCTATTTTTTTTTTTCTGCACCAATAACTGACTGGAACTGACTGCACTGGTGTGAACCAGAGCCATTGGAATACATGGAAAACACTGTGCATGCATTTTTGATGCAGAAAAAAAGCTAATTGAACTGCATCTAGTGTGAACTAGCCCTAAGGGCCGGTTCACACTATAGAAACGCAGTCCAGATGCGTTCCAGATGCATTTTTGAATGCGTGTTTTTGACGTTTTTCGTGCCTTTTTGACGGGTTCCAGTGCGTTTTTTTATGCATTTCAGTTATTTTTTCCTCTCTTTTTCTTCAATTTAAATAGAAGTATATACGTTCCAGTGCATTGTTGGTGCATTTTTGGTGTGTTCTGGTGTGTTTTTGGTGCATTTTACTGCATTCCAGTACAGTTCTGTGCAAAAAAAATGCAGCCTGTTCTACTATTTCTTCTGCAACCAGAACGTACTGGTACTGCAAGCAATGACATTGACAACCATATAACCTACTTTCTGTGCGTTTTGGATGCAGAAAAATGTAACTGAAACGCATGTAGTGTGAACTGGTCCTAAAAGGGCAAACATTAACCACTTGCCCTCCAGAGGATTTACCCCCCCCCCCCTCCTGACCAGGACATTTTTTGCGTTATGGCACTGCGTTACTTTAACTGACAGTTGCGTGCGTGGTCATCCAACGCTGCACCTAAATTACATTTGCATTCTTTTTTTCCCATGAATTGAGCTTTCTTTTGGTGGTATTTGATCGCCTGTGCATTTTTCATTTTTTGCACTATTAAAAAAAAGGCCGACAATTTTGAGAAAAAAAACAATATTTTTGACTTTTGCTATTAAACATGTCCAGTAAAAAAATTTAAAAAATCAAATTTCGTCATGAATTTAGGCCAAAATGTATTCTGCTACATCTTTACTAAAAAAAATAAAATAAATCCCAGTACATGTAAATTAATTGGTTTACGTGAAAGTTATAGCGTTTACAAATGGCGGTATATATATTATTTTTACTAGTAATGGCGGTGACTTATAGCAGGACTACGGCGGGCATTCTGACACTGGGGGGGAACTGACTTGGTGTCACTGACATAAAAAAAAATGCACTGACCCTGTACTAATGTCACTGGGCAGGAAGGGGTTAACATGAGGGGCATTCAAAGGGTTAACTGTGTGCTGTGTCTGTGTGCTGCACTGTAAGCACACTGCTTTGCATGGCTGTGCTGTGCACAGCCATGAAAAGCAGTGTGCAGGAGCTGACAGGAAGGAGAACGTTGGAGATTCTTGGCAATCACCTACGCTGGCGAGTAACCACCGACCAGGACCTGGTGATTGACAGCCGTGGCTGCGAACACGCATGCTCCCTATCCGGAGATGCAAAATCATGTGTGTATATATATATATATATACGTGATTTTGCTCACCCGTGCCGCCCTGTAGCAGTATTTCTTCCATAGGGCAGTCGGGAAGCGGTTTATTAAATAATTGGAATAATTGCTAGCTCTGTATACACTTGTAGGTGGTAAACATATGGCTTGTTGTTTTCATGAAATATGTTGTTATTCTGTCCAGGGACTGAACATTGCTGATTTGTTATGTTACATTCATGTTTAGTACTATAATGGTACTTGATTAATTAGACCATTAGGGATTGTGTGCATAGACATCATAATTTTGCAGGATGTTCCTGGCAGAAAGATCATGCATTAAAGCAGGGTGCTCAACCTTTTGAAGGGCAAGGGCCACTTAAGTGATTTACTGGTCGCTGGCCACAATAAAATGAAATAGTTCAGAATTTAGAATTTTTTTTGACCAGCATAATGAACATTTTCTTCCTGCATCCGCTGAATGCCAGTGGGTGGTTTCCAGCAAATTCAAGAGAAAAATGGAGAGGATCTGTTCCTTTATATGCCGCCCCTCCTAAGTGTGAAACAGAATGTGACAGGGGGGGCCTCCAAGGGATCCTGTGAGATGGGGAAACAGCTCTCATTGTTTGAGCACTGTTTGTGTGGAAGTAAATGTTTTGACTGACATTCTGCGGTTTAGCCACAAGATGTCACTGTTTTTCTAACACAACCTCAGACTGCATAGATATTTGCATATTCATGTATATTCATGAAGAGGTGGGGTTTTGCACACAGAGTGGGAGAGAACAGGAAGGAGAGGGAGAAGCCATGTTTTGGAGCATGGTGAATAAGGAGCCCTGTGAGCTGAGAATCTGATGACATCCAGGTGTGAAAGCGTCCCTCCGTAACCAGAGCTGCAGCTAAGTGAAGCTGATGATATTGCTGCCAGGAATGCTGATGAGATTGCTGCCAGGAATGCTGATGAGAGCAGAGGAATTAAGCAACATATACTGCGAGACCGCATGCTTGTTGGAGAGACATTTGTTCTGTTCAGAGTCACCAGCAGGTACAAAGCAGACTCGGGTCGGTAAGATCGTACATGCACCTCATTTCAGTGTTGGCGCCTTAAGACTGAGTCCAGGCCTATAGTTAGTTAGGGTCTCTGTTTGTGTCAGGCCACAAGTGTTGTTATTGATTATTGGAAGGACTCCACAACTTAAAGTGACATTTCACATTGGAGAGCTGATAAAATCCCACAAACTCAAGCCAGACTGGCGTTTTGCTCAGAAGGAATACTCAGGCACGTGCTACAGGACCAGTTATGGGAGAGGGAATACTGTAGATTTGTGTAAGATTGTAAGCTGTTGTGCTGCACTGCAGGCTAGCCCATACCATACACCCATACACTGATTCCTGCTCTTTTAGGGTAATAACAGGTAAGGTGTGGCAGCTTAGTTGTGCCCGCCAGTAGGTAAATTACTACACTTTCTACCTTCATCCATCAGAAGGTGCCATGCTGTGCAACACAAGGGTCTCAGCCTTTGGGCTGGGTGTATGTAAATTTATTATGTTTCCAGCATTTGTGGTTGTGTTTATTTGCCACATCTAAGTAAAATTCTGTTGTGGAAAATGCTGGTGTTGGGGTTGCTTTCATCGTTCGTGACTTCACTGTATCCTGGGGAGCCCACCCCGGTACACGGCTTACAACCCCTTGAGAATGGATCGCCTTTGCGATCTCTGATGCTACACTAATGGTTGGGGATGGGGGGTTTAAAAACATATCTAAATATGGGGTTTTACTGCCCACCCAAAATGTAATGGAGCCCTTACTGTCCTGAGCACCCTAAGGCTCGGCCCAGCCCCCTATCTCTTCTCATTGGCACCCATAGCTGTCTCACCCAATGAGGAGAGAGAGTCTCGGGACAGCCAAGAATCCAATGCACATCGCTGGATCGAGAGGGGTCTTAGGTGAGTACTAGGAGGGGCTGGAGTGGCTGCTGCTCAGAGAAGTTTTTTACCTTCATGCATGAAGGCAAAAAACTTTAAAGCGGAGCTCCACCCAAAAGGGGAAGTTCCGCTTTAAGCCTTTGTCCCCCGCTCCCCATTAAGGATTGGCACCTTTGGGGAGTGGGTACCCGAATTTGACAGGTACCTGCTCCCACTTCCGCTGCGATCGCCTAGGCGATCGGAAGTGGAAGTTGTCCTCCCCCCTCCCTCCCCATAGTCTTCTGGGACATGTGATAGGTCCCAGAAGACTATGGGGCCATTCACAAAGTGCAGCGTTACTCGAGCGTGCGCAGAGGGCTCCCAGCTGTGAAGCCGCAAGCTGTCACAGCCGGGTGCCCACACTAAAGATGACAACGCCAGGGAGAGAAGACAGCCGGTGAAACCAGTGGTGGTGAGGACACCGCTGGATCATGGGACAGGTAAGTGTCTGTATTTTAAAAGTCAGCAGCTGCAGAATTTGTAAACCTTTACATCCACTTTAAGGTTTGAACATGCACTACAGACACAGATTTAGCCTTTGTGATATACAACCAGTGTAATTTTGACTTCAAATTTTGATTTAGTTTAGGGCCGATTCATACTATAGAAACACAGTCCAGATGCGTTCCGGGTGCGTTTTTGCATGCATGTTTTTGGCACATTTTTGACACGTTCCAGTGCATTTTTTATGCATTCCAGTTCATTTTCCCCACTCTTTTTCTTCAATTTAAATAGGGACATGTGCGTTTTTGGTGTGTTCTGGTGTGTTTTTAATGCGTTTTACCGCATTCCAGTACAGTTCTGTGCAGAAAAAATGCAGCCTGTTCTACTTTTTTTTTCTGCAGCCGAAATGCACTGGAACTGCAAGCACTGATGTGACTTATGACATTGACAACCATATAACCTGTGCGTTTTGGATGCAGAAAAAACACAATGCATGTAGTGTGAACCAGGCTGCAGTCATAATCTTTTGACTAAAATGCCATTTTAGTTTTAGCCATATTTTAGTTATCTGAATTGTGTTAGTTTAAGTCACATTTTAGTCGACTAAAATAATGTTAATTACGTTGATTAAAATATTTTAGTCGACAAAATTAACATTGGTGTCACCTTACATTGGTGTTGAGTTTCCAGAGTGCCCTTTTACATTGGTATTCAGTAGTCAGAGTGCCCCCCCTGAATTTGTTAGTCAGTGTGCCCTTTTACATTGGTATTCAGTAGTCAGAGTGCCCCCCCTGAATTTGTTAGTCAGTGTGCCCTTTTACATTGGTATTCAGTAGTCAGATTGCCCCCCCTGAATTTGTTAGTCAGTGTGCCCTTTTACATTGGTATTCAGTAGTCAGAGTGCCCCCCCTGAATTTGTTAGTCAGTGTGCCCTTTTACATTGGTATTCAGTAGTCAGAGTGCCCCCCCTGAATTTGTTAGTCAGTGTGCCCT